ATGAAACTTTGGCAGCTATGTGCCTCTTCGTTTCAACTTGGCATTAGAGTAAGGGGGAGTATGCTGTTTTAGAATTGATTAGATGAAGAAACAAAACCTCTATGATTCCACTGAAGAACATGAGAGTGTGAAACCTTTCCAAGGACACTGCAGCAGGTGGGTAGAGGAAGCAGACGGTTCCGTAACAAAGTGAAATTGCTTACATGATCTATGTGAGAGTGCGGGGGTTGGTAAAGAAAAATTATTGTTTAATTCTATGAACTGGTGTCTGGGAATCTCAAAGTTAGTTTTGCTTCGACATTATCATGCTGTGTATTCAATAAACTGTAAGAGTTTCGGAAACAGAATGAATCTGGAGTTTTATTTGGATTTGCAAGCTGGATTTGACACTGAAAGGATGGTTTGATTGTAGTTTTTAAATGATTCTAAAATATCAACTGAAAATATTTGGATATTACCGTAAATGCCGGCATATAAGGTGACTTCCGCGAGCGCTGAAATCGGCGCCAAAGACGGGGGTCGTCTTATACGCCGGAAATACTGGTAGTTTCCGGCGTATAAGACGATGTTCTAGGAATGCGGCCCGGTTATAAAGACGGGGGTCGTCTTATACGCTGGGTCGCCTTGTACGCCGGCATTTACGGTATTTTTCAGTATTCTTACCAATTCTTATGAAGGTGGGGGATCTAAATGCTGCCCTAACCAATTAAAGGAAATGAAGGGATAAAAATGTAATAAATAAATAGATAAAAATAAATCACATAAGTTATCAGGCATATTTGGAAGCAAAGTGTTCATCAACACAGATTCACAGAATAAAATTACAGAGTCAGAAGGAACATTTGGTTAATGAATACAACTCCCTTCTTAGTACAAAAAATTAAATTTATGATTTCCTTTAGTATCTTCCCAGATATCAGCATCAGACCATCTATATACTACTGAAACTCTCGTATCTGTAACCTTTAACTGGGCAAAACAGTACATCATAGAGAAACAGAGTTTGAACAAAGATATCTCAAAATGGTGAATTTACAAAGAGCATCCAAAATCTGGGACCTATGACTTCTGAGGAATTGAAATTCAGCAAATTTGTGGTTGCTTCAATCCTGCCATGTTTTTATGCCACTGCCCAGAAGTTCAGTAGACCAGTCCTGCCCTAGTCGTCCAGGTTAGACTGGCCCCTCTTTCCACCACTGGAAATCAGACTGGTCTCGTCCTAGCCCTCCAGAGGCTCCAGAGATTATAGACCAGTCCCAACTTTGAATGTCAGAAGTCAGTCAAGCCAGCAGGAGTCAAAAGTTGTTCCTGCTCCCACTGCTTTTGCTCTTGGTCAGTCTGTTTTTCAGTTTAAGTAAGGGAATAGTTCTAAAACAATGACCCAGTGGGTCACAGGTTGTCTAATCTGGTCTACAGTTCCTTTTTTCCTTTTCTCCTTTGAAAGTGGGGATATTGGCTCTCCTCAATCACCTGATGCTTCTTCCATGTTTTCTCAAAGCAAAAACAAAAACATAAAGATTATCTATATTTTCTTCCTCAGTACCCCAGGATAAAATTAATCTCCTCAGGAGATTTGAACTTTTTTAAAGTCAGTAATAATTTCTGACTATGTTTGGTCAGAGATCTGGAATATTACTATTTCAGTCAAATGAATCCCATCTCTGCTTTCTAACTGAGCAGAAAAGAAATGTAATAGTTTTTCCCTTTCTCCCCTTCTCTTTTGTACATCATGTCTCTGTGAATTTGGCCTATATCCAATTTGTAAGGAAGAGACTAATGGAGTGGTGATTTTGCTCTTGAAAAGGATCTCCCACTAGGAGAGTTGTAAGAGGATCACCACCAACCTCTAATGCCCAGTATGGATTAAATAGCATTTCCCTTGATTTTTTAACACTATGCTATCACATTAGAAAATTGGAGTGAGGGAGAAATGCAGACAACAAAGACTGCAGAAGGCAGCTCAGCTGGATTTTTCCTCTCATAGGGCCATGGGTACCAACTGCTGTGCAAGAAGATGCCATAACATTCATTTGTTTTTAAGTAGTATTTATTGTATTCTGATCTATAATTGTTTGTACAAGTGGTCCCTGCCTGTAAGCTATTTGGGGAGGATTGTTGCAACCACAATAGCAGAAACAATAATGGAGAGTTGCTCACTGTCCACCCATGATACTTTTTCTGAGAGACATTTTTGTACATTATTTCCCTATTTTGTACACTTTTTACAAGGATTTTTCTTAATATATATCCTTGTGTGTATCTCATTATCAATGAAGGAGAATATTTATAGCTCAGGGTTGAAATAAGGGATCCTTGGTGCTCTCTGAGCTTGCTTGTTTTCTTGCAAACATTTCATTAGCCTAACTAGTAACATCATCAATGCTATCAGTGCTAGTTAGGTAATGAAACGTTTGCAAGAAAACAAGCAAGCTCAGAGAACACCAAGGACCCCTTATCTAATGAGATAAACACTCCTACTCTTAAAGCTCTGGAAAATCCTCTGGAAAAATAAGAATTTGCAAATATGTCCTTTCTGCTTCTTTTGAGTTAAAAGGCTTTCCACGAGACACCACATGATACACACATATACACCCCAGTAGCCTGAGCCAGCAAGGAGAGGCATGAGTCTAATGAACAAGTGACTGAGTTGTAAGAATCTTGTCCACTTCCTCAGGTCCTAGAAGTTCAAACTGTTGCCAAACAGCAGAGCAAGACTGAGACCCAGGCATTTCTGCAGGACTGGGAACAAATTTGAGTGATTTTATCCACAGATCCTCTGATGATTCCTCTGCACAGCCTTGGAATATCCAGGTCCCCCCAGCCCAGAAAGCTACTAAAAAACCAATTCATGGATGCAATAATGGTGGAGTACTACTGTGGCTTCACCACCTTACTGCCATAAGACAGACCCTAATAACAGCTCTCACACATTATCAGCCCAGCTGCGTAAACCAGACAGGAAATATGATTACATAAGTTAATTCTACATTATTGTAAAGCCATATGATACTTCCAGACAGCAAGAACAATTAATCAGTGGAATGGCTTGCCTATAGAAATTGTGGGTGCTCCATCACTGGAGGTTTTCAATAAAAAAAATGGGCATCTATTTGTCCAGGATGATATAAGGATTCCTGCCTTGGGTAGGGGACTGGACTATAAGACCTCCAAGGTCCCTTGCAGCCCTATAATTATAAGTGGCCCATATGCCTGCCTATCTAGCCTGCTAGCAACTCTTAATGGGCAATTTCAAAGTCCTGACTCAGCTTATCAGGGCCCTAACAACAAAATTACAGATTAGTATTCTTCCAAGAAGAAGACACTTAAAAAATATAGGAATGACAGTCTTTCAAATGACAAGAATACTAGGCATATAGTATTTCAATGTGTTGCTTGTATTTCTTGCACATAAACAGTCCAGGTTTGCTTTACTGGAATTTATTTTCCCATGAACATATTTTTATTAAAGTGAAAACCATATATAATGTATGTAAAGTTGAAAATCTTGCATGCCTCTAAAAGAGTAAATAAGCAGCAAATAAATAGTCTTATAGTTAAAGCATCACTAAACTTTTTAAATAATAGAGATGAGAGAGAGAAACTGCAAAGTTAGATAGTAGTTAATGTATGCCATCATTTCCGTTGCAAGTTCAAATATCAATTATTATTTTAAGATGAAAGCATGTCAGGCTACCTTTCAAACTAAAATGCATTTAGTTTTATATTTTCTGGATATAAATGCTTACTATAGCTAATGTTAATGAGGATTTAAAATGAAATGATAAAAAAAATGCGGTCGGATATTCAGAAAGCTTTTCAACAAAAATAGACATTAAGTATTTCAGAAAAAAATTGTGGATAATCTCTGGGAACATTGAGGTCATATGTGAAATTTAGGAACATTTTGTTGAATGATGCTGTTCTTTGTAAGACAGTCTGTCAGAATCATGACATACTTATATAAAGAAAAGGCCAACTCAAAGCTTACATAAATATATTTGTTCAAACAGAGATTATAACATTGCACAAATATACATTTAAAGGGAACCAAGATTAAGTCAGTAGTGTTAGACCAAGAACAGGATTATACATTAATCTTCAGCTGGTAGTAAATGTGAGTATCACACTCAGAAGTGATTGGCTTATTTGTTTGTTTGTTTTAAAGAAGGAACAATACCAGAGGGCAGAATAGTGAGGATGAGAATATCAGAAAAGGAATGATTAAATTTTGAAGTAAATTTTATGATTATGTGTGGTGTGCTGTCTAAACTAATGGACTATTAAAGAAGGAATCCTGGTTTAATTCTAGCTTCTGCCATGAACTCAGTAATTTAAAGCTCTGTCACTCAGTTTCAGGTCCCTCATCTACAACTCACCTTACATGGCTGGGCAAGGACTATGGAGAGAACATATACGAAGCATCTGTGACATCTACAAAGTCTAAATTGAAAGTGGAACTAATTCAAACAAGAAAAAAGGAAAAACAAAAACAAAGCATGGAGCTGTAAGGAAGGATCCCAATTTAAAAAATCCACTTCTAAATGTTTTCTAGTCACATCTGAAGTTAACATAATTAACATGTAATACATAATTCCATGACTAGTTTCTAATCCCAGGGAAATTTAGGACAAGATAAGACATGTGCTTTAGGTGGCAAGTCAACAGAAAAAAAGAAAAGAAAAGGCATCAGATAAAAGGAAATAAAACTATAAAGGGACCACAGATGAAACATGGTTAAATTAAGGTCATAACAACATGGGGTTCTTGTACAATAAATACTGAGTTTAAATTAAATTTAAGTTTAAGTTTAAATTATTTCTGAAATTCTGAATAAAGTTCTGTAATTGTAACTCACTGTTTTGTTCATTTTTACACTACCATGGCTGTGAAGCATGAAAACAGATTGCAAATACCTTAACACCCTCAAACAATAACAGACTTTCATAAATAGGAAGCAAGATTAAAACAAAACCCATCCAATAAGAATGTTCAACCCTTACCTTTGAGTCATAATCTTATAAGCATCTGGCAGATAACAGCGTATATTCTCCATCTGAGCAGGATCTGAGTCACAGATTTTATCATCTGTCCTGCCATAGTTGGCACTTTCAATCATGATAACATCTGTTCCTGGGCAACGTAGTTCTATTGGGTAGCTTTCACAAGAGAGTTCCCTCCGGACCACTGCCATAGGAACGGGAGCACGACTAAAAGCTGTGGAAAGAAGAGAGATGCTTAGTAGAAACCACAGCATCTAAAACAAAAATATTCCCCATAGTCTACAGGAGTGTCAAATCAAATGATTTGCAAAGTGACTTGGGTCATTCTCTGTAGTCTTTCAAACATATCTTCAAGCACGTGAAGAGTATCTTCCACTCACCCATGAATAACTGGAGAAACTTATTTATGCAGCAAGCAAGAATTTAGAAGCAAGTTGCTTCATGGTAGGACTGTGCAGTGTTCCGGGTACATAGGAGTGCAAATATAGCAAATGACACGATTCTACTAGGCACTGCCTCACAATCTCATGCACTCCAAAACATCTTTTCAGAATTAAATCCAAAGCACAGCATAGCCTTAACTCTAAAGATGGGTTTTCTTTATCAGAACTGAGCCCACAAACTTTTATTTTTTTAAATATTAATAAAAATGTTCTCCTCAGTCCACATCATTCATCCTCTTTTGATAGCTATTGTTTATTATTATTATAGTAGAAAGAAATTATTTTTCATATTAATCTTTGTGGTCAGCCCATGCCTATAGATATTGCAAACATAAGATTGAAGAAACCAATTCTATTCCCAGATGTTGACTTCTGGAAGAATGCAAGAAGCCCATCAACTGTAAACAGATTTGATTTTTGAAAAGTAGTTCATAGAGAAGAAAAATGTTTTTTAAAAAAGTTTTTTGCCTTTATTGCTGTCTCCATCACAAGATTCCATTTTTTCTGAAAGTTACAATTTTTGGAAAAGTGGTTTATTTTGCATCCAAAATGGACACTACAATACATGGTAGTTAATGTTCAGTTCATTTAGAACTCCTGATAGATCAAGCCAAATAGTCATCAGTCCAGCATTCGGTTTCCCAAATAGCTGGTCAGATGTTTATAAAAAACTCTTGAGGTCACTCTGCATTTCTGAACAGCTTACTTTATAAGATCTACCCATAATATAAAGTTAATTCAACATTGATGTTGAGCACATACTGTACTTTCTTCTATATCCATGGTGAGTTTTAATTTGTTCTTACTAATATGAATGGGCTAGGAGCGTAACAAAAATGAAATAAGATAAATCCCCTAAAGATTAGATCCCCTAATAAAGCCAGGGATAACCTAAGAATGTTCCCTCCAGAGCAAGGTTCTAAGAAACATGAAAATACTTGCAGAAGGGGGAAACTTGTAAGGAAAATGTCTATTTTTAGGATCAGTGGTGCTTAAAACAGTCAATTTGTTGCAGAGAATTGATATTGGACTTATAAGCTTCATGAAAATAGAACTCTTCATCTGTTTGGCACTTTCACTTCAGTGGCCCTTGTCTGATCAGGATGATGATCAACGATCCATATACAAACATATAAAACCATAGTAATTGGAGATACAATGTTTGATAGCGTGTTTCAAACACAATAATACAGAATGTGGTCCTATTACTGATAATACTAGCACTGGAACATGAAATCAGGACTTTTATTTAATCGAAGTTTGTTTTTTTACAATACTGTTACAGATAGGGAATTCCATATGTGCCTGTCAGGGCTCCTTTTAGACTAAGAGTAGGCAGTGACCTAAGCTGCCAAAACTTAGAGAGTGCTAACACCTCCCCCCCTTCAAACTCATTCTAAAAATGCAAGTGTTCAGATAAATGGGCACCATCAATCACTATGCTCTATGGAAATTGCAATACATGAGTACATGGACAATTGCTTTGATATCTTTTCAACTACAAGAGCAAACCTATGGGGTTGGCATGTCTATTCAGTAGGAGTGTTGATGGTAATGTATTATTGCATGTCCAAAGAAATCCTTCCTCAGCCCAGGGAATGTGAGAGATGTTTAATATTTGGCTGGCAACCAAGGTCCCCTTGACATCCAGCTTTGCTGTTCTGGGGCATGTTAATGACCTCTATAACATCTATCCGTTATGGGAGTACATGCCTGGTCTTTTCATAATTCAGAGTAAGAAGCATATAACATGCTTACTCAGACTTTATAGCACCCCTCTAGGTAAGAGACTAGTCCTCCACTAATACTAAGGCTGATAGGCCACTGGAGAATAATTAATCCTAATAGGCCATTGTAGAATAATTAATTAATAATTAATAATTAATGTTCCAGGCCTTCAGTTCTATTATATGCATCCCCAACTCAAGTCTAAGAATGCCAAGGGCTACATCTTTGGGGCGGCAAGAATGGCTCTTAAAAATTTGGTTTGTAGTACTTTCTTGGTATTCTTCATTGCATAGATTCCCATTTGAGTTATGAATAATATCAGAGCTAGTGTTTTGGCTTTATAAGTTTTAAGGGTGACAGGAACTAATTCTCTACCCTTGGAGAAAAAGAATTGCCCAATAATGGCATCTGATGTTTTTATTGGGAAGAGTCTCTACATTATTGTAAACTAAGATCAAATCAATTAATTTTTGTCCTCTGTCCCAAAATTGTATCCTTGGGTATCATGGTGTCCTAGGATTATTTCAATTCATCACAGAAGTGAATATGCTGCAGAAAACCAGCTTTAGAAAGAGCCTAGATCTTGAACAACACCATTACCTTCCAATGAACAGCAGAGATAAAATTGTGAATGGCTGCAGCCTTGCTTACAAGTGTGGCAACTGCCCAGAAACAAAACAAAGTAAAACAAAATCAAGTCACTAGAGACCAATATGGAAGGTATGAGGGTAAGTAGGGAGAAGGCTCAGTAATATATTTTGGGGTAAAAGAAGATTTTGTGATTCTCCAAGCTCATTAGGACTGCTAATTTGCTTGTAATAATGTAATAATAATATCTACAACATGGTAATGTAACTAAATTCCAAATCAGAGCTACAAACCCATACAACTATTCTCCATAACTTTGGACATTCTGGTAGGAAAACAGGCTAGAGAACTCCATCTTATCTAATGAAAAGATTTTTTTTTCCTGAGAAATCCCAAAAATGACATTGTTTATAAACAAGCAGGCTAGAAAATCTCACAGACAAATATTACCCGTTAGGTTTGTGCAGAATATAACAAAGAAAATATGTTTGTTCTGTTTGTGTATATTTGTATTGTTTCTTGTTTTTAAATATTTTAACTGTCCAGAATCACTGGGAGTATGGAGGAATATTTATTTATTTATCTTCTATTAAAATTGGAACAATCTAGTTAGAAAAATGTACAATCACTGAAAATATAAAGGACATTCTTAATCTTATCTGTGTGATTGTAGAATGAGATGAAATACTACTAGATGCCATATAGAGAAAAATCTGCATTTTTCGCTACCATTTCTTATTCAATGTGATGAAAAAGAATGTACTTTTAACATCTTTCAAAGGAGAAGAGACTTTTAGTGAAATTTTGATGACTGATGAACTGTGATGTTCTCAAAATAGCTTAATTACAAAGTAGCCAAGTGTGTAGGAATGTCTTCACTTTCATTGTGTATAATCATCTCTCCAGCCTCTGTTGCTTTCCAAACTTTAATGATGACCCAAAGGAAGATATGTTTTATTTATTTTTTTTTTCAGTTGTGGACGCAAGTCAAGGACAACCTTTGATGGGACTCTGTCTGGTTGGACTGCCAACAAAATCCCAGACTGTGGTTTTCAACTCCTCCTAATTTTGAGAAATGTTGAAATGGTTTTCCGTCGCGTTCTGTACTTTTCCATTATTCTCTATGTTTGATAGGAGCTATCATTGCGGTTTTAATATTTTTTTTAAAATTTTATTGAATAACAAAAAAAGAAAAAAAAAGATTAAAAACATTGAACATAGTAAATCAGATTTGACAAACATCACAGTTCATATTCACAATTAGTTACTAATAAAAAATCTATACAATAACATAACTCTTATCTCAATCTTAACTTATCTCATTACAATGACTTCCATATTTCCCCCCCACCATCTATAGAATTTGTTCCAAATTTGGTAAAAATCCGTTCCATCCTGATTTTTAAGTCTTTTAGTTAACCTATCTAATTCTGCACAGTGCATAATTTTATGAATTAAGATTTCCTCACTAGGTATAGCCGTAGCTTTCCAATTTTGAGCGAAAACAATTCTTGCCACTGTAACCACATAGTGAATAAATACATATCTTCTTTACTAACATTTTCTTCAAGAATTCCTAACAACAATGTCTCAGGCTTATACTGAATGTTTTGCATACTCATTTTCTGTTACCCATTCCCAAACCATACGCCAATATCCCTGTGCTTCCTTACATGACCACCAAACGTGAAAAAAGTGCCCCTTTCTATTTTGCATTTCCAACATAAAGATGAGTATCCTTTGTACATTTTGGCTAATCTTGTTGGAGGGAGAGGCCATCTGTAAATCATCTTATATTAATTTTCTTTATATGATGATGCCAATGTAATTTTAATATTTCGCATCCATACCTGCTGCCATTGATCCAAATTAATGTTGTGTCCTATATCTATCGCCCATGTCACCATTGTTTCTTTAACCTGTTCTTCAAATAGCCTGTACTCCAATAGGTGTTTATAAATATTCTTTATTTGTTTTTTTTCGGACCAAGCAGAATTTTATCTAGCCCCGTATCTTGTCCATAAATACCCCATTCCTGTTTATCTTTCAAATATCTTGCTTGGATCTGGAGGTAAGACCACCACTCTATCTCTATTCCTTGTTGTCTTAACTCTTGTTTAGATTTTAAAAGACCCTCTTCTGTCAAAATGTCTTTATACCTGATAACCTTAACTTTCCTGAGCAAATTGGGATATATAACTGCCTCCAATGGCGATAACCAAGTCGGTATCTTTGTATAATATTGAGATTTAACAGTATTCCAACTTCTAATTAACCCTTGCCGGACCTTGTGTTTTAAAAAATATTGATAATTTCTATTTTGCCCCTTCCACATATGAGCATGCCATCCCTGCTGAAGATCATAACCCTCTAACTGTATACATCTTTGATTCTCTAAGGTTATCCAATCACTAATCCAAGACAGGGCTGCCGCCAAGTAATATAATTCCCAATC